AGTTCCAGGTTTCTCAATTTTTATTGTGATAAATGTGCATAAAAAGATTCTTATTTGAGATTTTGAGTGACATGCTTGTTGTTCTTTCAAGACAAGAAATAAGCATATACTTCGTATATCTGTTTGGGGATATCATTGAGATTATTTGATGACAGAAGGTATATGTACTCTACTAGATTTTATTGATCATTTCAATAAAATGCAAGAACATGGAATAAGTAAAATATGAAAAAGATGTACAAAGCAATGATATCCTCCTTAGAGATTGCAAAACTTGATCTTAGTTTGCTTCAGCATCTAAAAACCATTATTATATTGGTTTCACTACTTTCTGCAGAAGGCTAGAGTCACTCTCAGGTCCCCTCTTCTATCACAACCATTATTCACTTGCCTACTTGGCTCCTATCAATCAATTTCTTTTTAAATTTCTTCTCCTTTTATGATAATCGATTTATCCTCTTGTTTATTTTCATGTCCTCTTTTTCAATGTAATATTTGATTTTTTATTTGTGGTAGATTAATTTACAACTCCCTTTCTGTTTCCCTTTAGCTGGGGGCGTGAAGTGGATGATTTTTATCTCCATGATGATATTGTGAGTTACTGAAATGCTTGTGTTTTGTGTCTTATAACAGGTAGGAAAGGTAAATTGTGGAACAGATTCATATCTTTATAAGGAGCAAGGCTTATACCCATATAGTGACTGTGTATTCATTTTAAATCAAACGAAAGTGGTTCCATTTCAGAGTACTTTGGTGATCTGGATGTTAAAAGAGAGATAAGCTTCTTCATAGGACAATCTTTCTCCATTCATGTGTCAGCTTGAATAGCTTCCATTTTGACTCTGGTGGAACTGGAGCTTCACCAAAAGTCATTTTTGGCACACTCCAATTATCTGGATGGTTCTTAGTGGCTTGTATAGAATATGTTTTATTTCCTATGATGTAGAACTAGAAGCATTATATGGAGTATTACATTTGATGATCAATGAATGTGTACAAGAATCTAGTAAATAATATCTTGATTTCATTTGAAACAGGTACGTGATAATAAAATAAAGATATAATAGCGTGGACAGGGTAGTTTGAGAACTATAGTATAGTGATATAATTATATAACTATCATAGTATTGTAAGAATATGTAAAAATGGTACTCCGTATATTGGAATCGGCTCCCAATTTCAGTAATAATTTGCCACATATAAACCATGGACAGGGCACTTCGAGAACTTAAACAAGCCTAAAACTGCAGAGATCTACCCCTACTCACACTCACAAAATTAATGACAAATTGACAATATTGGATTACCAATAGGATTATTAGCTTATTTTATCTCAAACTATCATCAAATTCTCAAATCTAGCCTACACTTTCATTTTATCAAAAAAAGACTCAAACTTCATGTTTTTCAACAATTATGCTTTTCTTGTTTGTTTTTTCAAAATTACACATTTTTATCAATACCAATAAGATATAAGCAATACAATTTTGTAAACTTAAAACTAAAAAGAAGTGAAAATTATGAAATATAAATATAGTTTTCTTCTTAATTTTTACGAATTCATCCATTGAAATTGTAATTGTGAGAAAAGTTTAAGTTTGAGTCTTTTTTAAATAAAAGTGAAAGTATGAGATAGATTTGTGAATTTCATGATAGTTAAGGATATATTTAGCTAATAATCCTTACAAATTAAATAAAACCAATTGAGCAGTTTTTTATGTACAAGTCAACATATTGTTAAGGAAACTAAAGTCAATCTGAACTTGTTGCTTGCAATCTTCTTCAAAAGCTTGTTCCAAATATCAAAAACTACATCTTAAAAAGCATCCCAAAATGATCAAGATTGGTTTTCTGGTGTAAACCTTCCAAATTATTTAAGGCACTGGCGAAATCAAGGGTGTATTTGGTGTTCTGAAATTTGCACCAACGGCAAGAATACACCTCATCGCTTAATGCCATTTCATAGTGATCCATCAAACATGATTTGATTACAAGAAAAGTTTCATGGATAGCTTTACTACATTTAAAACATAATAAGGATCACAAATCTCTAGTACTAAGGATCAAAAGGAGGGTATACTTTATTTAGGATCTTAATTATTGCCAATCTGCTACTTATTGGGTCTCGATGGATAGAATGGTATATTCACAAACAATTATCTCAATGGTAAAAAAATCATGAATTAGTCTTAAAACTAGGTATGAAATCATTCTACACTCTAGATGTGGAGTAGATTTAGAAGCTTCCCACCATCATGAATAAAGACACTGCCTGCCTGATTAGTTCTGGACGAAGATAAAAAAATAGAATAACTCCTGGAGTTATTCATGGATCTTATTATTCATGGACAGAGATAAAAAAAACAACAAATTAAAGATAAAAATAAGATAAAAATAGTTCTGTATATAGTTAATTGATTAGTTCCGATCAAAACTCTTTTGCTATTAAGGCTTGAATGACTTTGTTCTTTGAATTAGTTCTGATCAAACTTGAAACTGAAAGAGAGAAAGACTTACATTAAACAATCGGAAGATTACCGAAATTCAGGCTGAATTCCTGCTTTCCGTAGGAGTCCTACAGGTCGGTTGGGGCAATACTTTATGGAGGAACTGAACTTGTTAGGTAGGACATCACAGAGCTAGAGGAGGATGATGGATCGTGAATGGAAGGATATGAAAGATGACTCTTGCGTCGAGAACTCCTCTGGCATACAACCTGTTAAAGATCAAACGAGTTTGCCCTTGCAGAACATGAAACGAGCAGCGGAAGGCTTCAGTTTGATTGAAGGGTTTCTATGCAATTTGGCAGACTAATTGGACTGCTTATATAGTTATCATTCCAAGCTATTTTAAAAATCCAACATTTTAGCGTTATTCTTACTATAGTCTCACATTTTCATTATTCATGAATAATCCAACATTTTAGCGGTACTCTTACAATAGTCCCACATTTTCATTATTCATGAATAATGCAACCTTTGCACCCCATCTTCATTCATTGGTCTCTGACCGATTTATGACATATTATTTCAAGTTATTTTCTTATCTTTGTAAAACATTATATCATAATTCCCACTTTACGATCACATAATGTTATGAAAAGATAAGAAAATAACTTGGAATAACATGTCATAAATTGGTTAGGGATCAGTGAATGAATATGGGGTGCAAAGGTTGGATTATTCATGAATAATGAAAATGTGAGACTATCATAAGAAGAACTTTTGATTATTAGTTGGTAGATTCTATGGTACCCATTAGGTACCATACCTTTGTCCACATGGAACAATGAGAATGTAGCAGTTGAATTATTTAAATCTAAATTAAAAATGATAAAGTGATGTGGTCCAATCAAATGAATGGTAGGTACGGTACCCCATTTTTTAGAAAGGTACCGGAGTTGTCACCTTATTAGTTTCCATTTTCCCAATAAGATATGAGTCGGAATAGTTTACCAATAGACTTCCGCCAAGTGTGTAATGCACCAAAACACTTCTCAATGTGTATCCACCGTAAAAAAATTCAAAAAAAAAGATACCGCACAACCACCTGATAATTTTGTTAACATTTCGAATTATGGCACATTAAGTTTTTACCAATATTTCTAACCCAATTATATCAGTATAACATTTAAGGCAAATTTTGTATAACAATCAGTAGAGCATTTAAGGCAAATTTTGTATAACAATTTTTAGCTGAAGTGACTGAATTTGTTGAATTATAGAAAAATTATTCAAAATATATTTGATTATTAAAAAAACATAAAAATAGCTAAAAATGTTCTTCTTAAGCAACTTCAATCAATTTCATCAGAAAAGTACTCCTTCTGTCACGTTAAGATCGTCTCATCTTTCCTTTTCGGCTGATCCCACTAAGACTGCCTCATACTCCCTACGTCCCTTAAGACTTTGCCAAGTTTGACCGGCACGAAGATTCATAAAGTAAAAACTGTGTGGTTGAAGTTTGTGCAGAAGAGCGAGAATTAAATGGAATCACAAATTCTTTACTTAAATGGAAAAGTGACAAAGTTATTGGGACATACAAAAAAGGAAAGTTGACAAAGTTTTAAGGGGCGGAGGGAGTACCAAATTTGATAAAATTTGTGTGGTTATAAATCATTCATACTTTATTTTTTACTTTGTAAATTTAATATTAACAATATAAATTCACTTCTACTAATAACTTTGTAACCTCATTATATCCCAATGTCAATGGGACGTATGAAATAATTTCAATCTTACTTATTTTAGTTATTACAAAATTTAACACATGAAGATAAAAACTATTTCCTCCGTCCCATTAGAATGTTCTCACTTTCTTTTTGTGAAAGCCCCATATAAAGGTTCTCATTTTCATTTTAGAAAACAATTAACAATCTTAAATGACTAATTAAACAAAAAATATTAAAAATAATACATTTGTAACATCACAGTTATCAATACTAACTATATTATAATACGTAGTATATAACAATTAAAATTATTTCTTAAAATATACTCAAAGTACTTTATTTAATTATTTTCTAAATAATCGTGCCGCTTTGATAAAGTAGAAACATAAACAGCTCATATATAGGCTGAAAATAGGGGTTAGCAAACGGCCCATAGTGTAAGAGGAGCCAAATATAATGATTAACCTTCCAAACAAGGCTCAACAAAGACATAATAATGGACATGAAATTCAAGGGTGAAGGGGTCTCTTAAGAAAAATCAGAGCCAATCAATTCATCACCATTATTTATTACTAAACAATTAATCAATCCTGTTTAGAAATTGATTGAGGAGTAATTTTAATATATCCTGTTTAGTAAAAACATTAAACCCAATTAGGAAGGTGCAAAAATCTTCAAAACTTTTATTATCAGGACAGCGAAATTTTGAATCCAACGTATAGCCGTGGACATGCCACATGGTGACCGTTGTGCCCCAAGATTGCATCGAACGGCCAGATTTCCTTATATAGCCGTTGGATTTGAATAAAGGCCTTCTATCTCCCCCCTCTATCTGTGTGATAAACCAGCGGACAAGACCCCATTAATCTCTGCCCCTCTCTCTCTCCATTTCTCTCTTTGCTCTTCCCGTTTTGGGTTTTTTTATACAGGCTCTCTTCTTCTCATTCAGTTCTCAGGTCCTTTAAATTACCGAGCTCTCAGATTCGGATCTGGGAGTTTGAATAGAAGAGAGCTCATTTCGTTTCTTGATTTTCCTTTGCTGATAAACTCCGAAATCCAAATGGATCTTGGAAGCATGGCTGCTACATCTGATGAGAACAGTGTTGCTTACATGAAATCAAGAAATGCTCAAGGTAAATCTGGTTCGAGAATCTGGGTTTAGTGTCAAAAGATTGATTTTTGAATTCAAATTTTGAAATGTCAGTCTTTTTTTCTTATTTCTTGCGGTAACTTATTTGGAAAGACTCGTGTTTGATTCGAAGGTGGGGAAGGGATGGATGGTGGAAGAAAGTTCGGAATGGAGAGAAGAAGCAACAGGAGAGCACTGGGTGTAATTAATCAGAGCTTAGGAGCCCATCCATGCCCAATTGTTGTTAGCAAAAGAGGGCTATCTGGGTAGCTCTCATTTGAAATCTTAAATTAGCCATTGCTGGTTTCCTTAAATTATCTCTATGAGTTACTGATCTCTTTAATATTTTTCCATATTCTTAGAACTAATAATGGGGCCTGCAACAATAATCCCGCAATTCCTGCGCAAAGACCCATCACTAGGTAAGTGAAGAAGATAGAATCTCTGGCTATTTCTTTCAAATCTTTATGGGGAATTTAATCTTGTTAAGTTTGGATTATTAATCATTAATGCATATTTTTTGGATTAAAGGAAGTTTGCTGCCCAAATTGCTAGCTCCCAACAACATTGTCATGTGGTAAATAGTCTAAATACATTCATTCTTCTTAATATTAAAGATAAAGTAGTAGTTTCTGTTGATTGACATGTTAACATAAAGTATTGGATGGATCTGAATAACAGGAAACCAAGAAACCGAAAATTGCAGCACCAGAAGAAGAACTCAAGCTATGGGAGGATGTGCCATTGCAAGAAGAGGAGGGGAGAGACCAGCCTGTTCCCATGGCTTTAGAGCAGACGGAAACAGTCTCCAATGAAAAAGCTCATGTGGTAAATAAAAGTCTAAAACATAAACTGTTCATATTAAAGTAACATCTGATTCCTATATCTTTTTATTAGTAGATAAACTGAAACCCCCCTTCTTGTAGGAGGTTGAGATGGAGGATATATTTGAAGTAGAGGCTATAATAGATATTGACAGTGGTGATGAAAACAACCATCTTGCGGTTGCTGACTATGTGGGTGATATCTATGCCTACTACAGAAAATTTGAGGTACATCAATCTGAAAATGGGAAACAATTTGCTTATTTTTGGGAGCATTTGGGATATGGGAAACAATTTAATTACTTCAGTGTCTGTTCGAATTCAATTTAAAACATTGCCCTAATCTAGCAACAGTGAAAGTTCCGCAGATATGGGGACATTCACAGTTCAAATTTGCCTTTTTCAAAATCAAATAATTTTAAAACATCCCATTAACTCTGATTAATGGGGTGCACTGGATCTCACGTTTTTGACTTTTAGCTCGTAGCAATAAAAGAAAACACTTCAAAAAAGATTCCCCCCTTTCTTTTGAAATGTGAAAGTGATTTCAAAGTTTCAAACTAATTGGAGGTCTTTCTAACTAAAAGGGTGTAATTGTCATTTAGATCAGTTTCTCACAGATATCAGTTGCTTTTTGGGTGACAGAGTAGCAGCTGTGTTTCACCAGACTACATGGCCCAGCAGTTTGACATCAATGAGAAGATGAGAGCCATTCTCATTGACTGGCTCATTGAGGTAAAAAAGAAGAGAGTTTTAAATGACTGTATAGCTTCCATCACTTTTATTAATTAATAAATTAATTAATGAAAAAAAAAACACAATAGACAGTCACTTTTAAATGACTGAAAAATTAATGAAAATTAAATAAATGGGGTATTTTTAAACTCAGGTGCACCACAAGTTTGAACTCAGGGAAGAGACTCTATTCTTGACAGTGAACCTAATAGACAGATTCTTGGAGAAGCAGGGTGTTGTGAGGAAGAAATTGCAGCTTGTCGGTCTGGTAGCCTTGTTGTTGGCATGCAAGTACGAGGAAGTGTCTGTCCCTGTCGTAGATGATCTCATCTTCATCTCAGACAAGGCTTATACCAGAAAAGAAGTCCTAGATATGGTAAATATACAAAAAGTTTCTTAATTTCTGCAATCAATGAAGAAGCTCCTCATCATCAATGCAAAAAACTTAAAAAAGGGTGATCATTTAATTCATTTCCGTTATGGTGGGTGGTGGGGGGACAGGAGAGTTTGATGCTGAACACATTGCAGTTCAACATGTCGGTTCCCACGCCATATGTGTTCATGAAGAGATTCTTGAAAGCTGCCCAATCGGACAGAAAGCTTGAGCATTTGTCCTTCTTCTTGATGGAGCTTTGCCTGGTTGAGTATGAGATGCTTAAATTTCCGCCCTCTTTTTTGGCCGCAGCAGCCATTTTCTCTGCTCAGTGCACTCTCTATGGTGTTAGTCAGTGGAGCAAAACCTGTGAGTGGCACTCTGGCTACACAGAACATCAACTCTTGTAAGTAGCAGCAAGTCACTATTCTGCTTCTTGTTTTTAATTGTCTCTCTCTCTAAAGATTTAATCTTTTTATAGGGAAAGCTCAAGAGTGATGGTGGGATATCATGAGAAGGCAGAAAAGGGGAAGCTAACAGGAGTACATAGGAAGTACAGTACATCAAGATTTGGGTGTGCATCTAAATGTGAACCAGCCAAGTTTCTGCTACTTGTACAGTCACAACAACAATAACAGCAGGAAGGGGAGGAAAGAAGGGAGGGAGGGGAGGGGTGGAGCAGGAGGGCAAGGAGGGGCATGTACATTGCACTCTAACTATACATGAATATGAGGATGATTGGATGTTGTTAGGGGGTGGAGGGGTAAACTGGGAAGAATAATAAGTTAGTTGTTAGCAAGCAACTATCTGCGTTGCCCCCATCAAATTTATATATTGTTCTTTTATTGGCTGAGAGTATGGTTATTTTGCTCCAAGTGCAAATAGCTGTTCTTTTGCCTCTTTTTTTATTAAAATTTGAACAAATGAAATATTGATATTTGATTATATGAAGTTTCTTCTTAGAATTTTTTTAGTTCGTATCGTTGAGTACTTCTTTTATTAAGTTTTAGAACGAATTAAATCTTATGATTGAACTTTGAAGTCTATTCTAAAAAGTTTTTTAGTTCTTTTTATTGATTAGGGAGTGGGTTTTTGCTACATGAGTTACCCAACATACCTCTATCTTAATATCTCTGTCATTATCTGGTCCAACCAGTCAACCACTTCAACCTCATATTGTCTCTGTCATTTTTGGCCATCCACTAGCAAAATCGATTTTGTTATAACAATCTTACTATAGAAAATTTAATTTCCAATTATAAATATTTGTATCTATATATGTAAATATATCATATATATTTTTGTTCGGACTGGAGTGTCGTCTGGCCGCCTTGTTTTGTGAGGTGGTTTCGGTGATATTTTAGCTGAAATTTTGTAAACGTGTTCCCCATTAAGTGTAGCTTATATCTACTAAATTTCAACTAAAAATTCAATTGAAACAATTAAATGAAATTTTGAAAATAACTATTTTTTATATGTATATATTTTGACGGAGTTATCTTAAAAAAATTATTTAACTAATTTCTTGATTGAGTTTTTACCTGAAATTTGATGGACATATGTGTTTGTCTTTCAAATTCAAATCCATTCATTTCAAGTTCATCATATTTGATGTATGGTAAAATTGTGTCTTAGATGAGATTTCAAATCCTACAATGATTAGCGACAAACCTGTCGAATGAGCCCACACATCAGTCGTCTTTTTATCATGCAAATACAGATATACTCCGTATTACCTTTGTTGGGAAAGATAACTTTAGAAGCTGTTTTTTAACTACGTTCGAATAGTTGAGCTATTTGTTAGCAAATCAAAATTGAAACCAACTTTCCAATAAAAATTAGGGTAGTTCTACGGTGCACCCGTTAATTTGATTGTACCGTACGCGTACCCGTGAGGAATGATACTGGCCATCACAAGGTCAGAGAATCACGACCCTCCATTCGATCGCTACCGCTTAAAATGGTTACCCATGGAACTTTTGAATACATTTTGTGGACATGTTCTTCTAAAATATAAATTATGTTCATATATTTTCAACTTAAAATTTAATTGAAATACATTATGCCACTATTTATATAAATAACTCAGTGTTTTTCAATAATTTATTTAACTGTCATTCCGATTGAATTTTAAACTGATATTTTGTAGACATAACTTTGAGGTAGTTTTGATGAAATTTTTCGACAAAATTTTATCAAAACATTTCACCAAAAACTACCTCAAACAACGATTTCTGGAAGGAAGGTTTTGTCTGGACGGTTGAACAAGATCTTTTCCGATGCGTCAATTACACATGCAACAAGATCACAATAATGTAGATGTATAAACATAAATAAATGAGGCTAATAATTGTGCAGAAGACTACACAATAATGTGTGAGCTTGTACAAAGTTTTCCCCACATTTCTTTATCAAAATGGTTTATATGATTAACACTCTTTCTAACTCTTTCAACTTGGGTCGTGTTTTCAGTTTGTTCATTCACATTAATGTTTTTTGGAAAGGATTTTGGTTTATGCCCCCTTTTCTATTTGGAAATATGCTTTATTTATATTAAAACTTTGGTGGATGTTCCCTATCATCTATCATACTAATTTTGATGGTTACCAATCGGATTAAAAAATCCCTAACCCATTCCAATATTGTCACATACTAGTCCCATCACAACTTAAAATGGGGCATTAGGACACCAAAAGGTTGTCACCTTTTGTATTGCCGCGTTTGTGTCATTGTAAAGTTTTGGGGCTTTAACATGAATATAACTAAAATTTTGACAATGGACAGAAAATTGAACTTTGTTTAATTTAAAAAATGTGACTAATAAGCATTAGACCTACTAAATTACTCCTGGTAACTTTATATGACAGTGACCAGACCCACCCCAATGACGACCCAGCCACCCAGGTAGTAACCATCGTCGTCCTGGTCATATATAGTGACATCGCCGGTCATTTATAGTTACAACTACTCAGTGATAAGCTGCTACCATTTCGAGTGACCAGTAAATGGTCGCTGGCCCACGATCCCAGACGGACACATTACACGACAATGATAACCGCCTCACCATAGCGCCGGTCGTTGTCGCCTCGGCACAGACCCCATCCGCTCCACAGCCTCCCCGGCCCAACATAACCGTTATCCCATCCCACAGCCTGCTCCTAGCCCCAAACACCTTTCAACTGCCACATCTCACCACCACACCCGCCCCCAGCCTCCACACACACCTGCAACCGCCGCTACTTTCCCACCACCGCGAGCTCATCACGGCCAGTCTGATGCTGCCCCATATCCCTGGTCGCTAGCCCAACGACGTTGTGTTAGTTTTCAGATGGATAAAACACAACAGAATACAGGGGGATGTCTCAAAAAAACTGATAGAATCAAAAGCTCATATTATAAATACAGCTGACTAAAACTTACAGAAATTTGAGAGCCTTGAGGATGTCAGACTGTCACAGGAAATCTCTCGGAGCTCCACCAATATCCAAATGCACGTGATCGGATTATATGTGGCGCTCTCGTTTTCCTTCTCTCTCTCTACGATGTGATCGTATGGAGCTCTTAAATTTCATGGCTAACTTCGTGTTTCATTAAGAGAGGAGTTAGAGGGTTTTTTTTATAGCTCATAGAACCCTTCTCCAAACCCTGGCCCAATAGGACTCGAAATCTCTATTTTGAATTGGGCCTTTTAATCTTATTAAAAAATCAGTGATTTATATTGCTTAGCTAGGTGTGTAACCCTGCAGGTTTGTGTAATGATGGTACGTAGTGGGTTAGATATTATTTCCGGTCCACGCGTCATAAATAGTCTCTAACAAGACATTATGCCCACCTAAATTATATAAATGACCAATAAATCTGACAACATATTTAATGATATCTCAATTTAGACAAGGTTAGGTCCATGTCATCCTTGTTATTCTCAATACTTATTTCTTGACTTCTAATTAAGATTAATTTTGACAAGTGATACCTTGCTTGTGCATGACTATGCTAATGAACTTACTTGTGAAGGGGCTTGTATATCTTTCTGCCGCAGCACGGGAGTGACAAAAACCTTCTTGACCATGCACACACATCCCCAAGATTCATAATATGTTTAATCATCACTTGAGATTAAGTCAAAGCAGATTAATTCACATGTTAGTAATCACATGATGTCTCGGGTATATAACAACTATCATTATTGAGAACTGCCATGATGACATGCTTATAATCCTTGCAGTGTCCTTAAAGACTTAAAGTAGGTTTGTCCAAAAAACTTATTCTCTAACAAGTATATATGTGGTTAGCTTGATATATCTTTGTATCAATGGCTAGTAAAATATAGCTATCAACTAATTCACATACTGCTTTATTAATTATTAATGTCTCTTATTAATGATATTAGATCACGGACTAGTTAGCATATTATCACGCTTAAAAATGTGCAACATTCCACAACTAATTCATGTATCTAATTATTTAGATACTAAGCATATTATTTTTGGACTAAACATTAATAAAGAAAACACATAACAATTACCATAAAGCAAGTTTATAATTTTTTTAGTTATAGTCTATGATTATTCTAGGGCATATTTCCAACATGTTGCTCGTCATCCCTAATCTCCATCACTGCAACGTCCTATAACCCTAGCTGCCGCCTTCTGCCGCGTGTGACCTTAGCTCCATTGAGGATAGCGGATCTAGCGGTGGCGGCCATCATGGACAAGTGGACAACACATATATCTTCGTCATTGCAGTAGTGAGTGATGTGGAGTCGATCGAGATCCAAATCAAAGCGGCTAGGGTTAGGGTTGGTCTGGGATTGCGATGGCTTGGGACAGGGGTTGACGATAGTGCTGGGAGCAGGGCTGGTCACCGGTTGAGGCCGGCAACGACGGGGGTTGGCAAGGTGGTAGTCACAGCCGAGGCGGCATTGGCCAAAGCCTGGAGTTGGTGATGGTGACCGACGTTGATGGGGTTACTGTGGCCGCAGTATTGTGGTCGGCGTGTCACTTTGATGGTTCATTGTGGTCGGTGTCACCGGGAATGCTATCAATGGAGACCGGGGCTGATGATAATTTAATAAACCTAATGTTTAGTAATCGTATTTGTGTAAGTTTAGGGGGAAAACCACTCTTTAATAATATTCACGCCAAAACCTCAAAGCTGTTTTTGTTTTATTTTAAGAGATTTCCCAAAATAGGAATAAATGGAGTTTGGAATTTCAAAATAAGACTGCTATGTTTTTATTCCCGAAATAGGACTAACATGGCAGTATTTACTGTTATCTTGTAGACGTGACTGCCAAATAGTTGCAGTACAGTGCATTAAACATGACTGTATTAATTATAATTAATGACAATATTTTTCAATTATGACAGTATTTTTCATGCATGACGGTAACAACTCATATTTCGGAAAAAGACATAGTAGTCCTATTTTAATTTGGAATTTCAAACCTCATTTACTCCTATTTTGGCTAATTTTCCTTATTTTAATTGTACCCCTGTTTTTGTCCAATCCAAAGCTATTGGTAATATTCTTTGTCATTCCAATATTATTGTGGAGAAATAGCCGTTAGTAGGACTAAAATAAGCCTAAAATTCAACAATAGGAGTATAATCCATTTATTCCCAAAATATGACTAATATATATCTATTTTCTCATTCTACCCCCTTTCTATAATTTCCAATAGATTTATTTTATTAATAAGAAAATCATAGTTTTATTTTTAATAAAAATATAAAAAAATAATAAATATTTATAAAATAATAATGAAAACGTGAAAAATAAAAAATAATAAATAAATTATTTAAATTTTTTTTTGAAAAAGTCCAAAAAATAAAATAAAATACCTAAAAAAATTTAAAAATGTGCAGGTCATTGCCAACGCGTCCTCTACCTCCCACCACCACCGGCTCCGGTCGTCGGAAAAAATGTCGTCTTGTGTAAAAATGCCACATTTCTCTGAAAATACCATAAAGATTGCATT